ATGCAGCAATCATAAGGACTGTCACATCCTAGGAAAACCACCCTTTCATTAGCGCATTTTGGCCTTGTTCATCAATCTTATACATGTTGAAGGTAACAAAGAACTGTTCTTTTCTTTTATTCAACAGTTACAAATATCTGTATTGTATTTGATTTGATTAAAAAAAATGTACAAAACCAAGTCGTAACTTCTCAACACTCATGACTAAAAACTCACGACTCGAATCTTACATTATATATATATACAAAAACATTCATGACAGGTCACATGATAGTATAAACATTTTTAGTAAAATACATATACAAATAAGTACGATAATAAAGGAATATATCATATAGATAAAATATGGTAAAGACAATAATTCATATACTGATTATTACAGAACAACATATTGAAAAAAATCAGTACACAATTTCATCAGATGACTAGAGCATACTAGCAAAAGAGAACGGCTTGATATGTAATTATTTTATTCGATTCACGATTCAGTGGGTGCATGTATTATGTAAACCCTGTTTCATGAAATTAGTATATTCCTCAAGAGAGTAGAAGGCATTTTCAATCAGACATGATTTGATAGTTTCTTTGAAGTTGAATATATTCATATCTTTGACTTCAGTGGGAAGAATATTATATAGGCTATACTTTATAGAATTCTTTTTCGATTCAGTGAGCCGATATCTAGGCAATCAAATTATTTTTGCTCCTCTGGTATCTTGGTGATGAACGTCTGAATGCGTTGTTAATATTGGAGATTTTTTGTGAATACCATTAATCTTGTTCCAGATGAAAAGTGACGGGAGAGTGAAGATTTTTAATTTCTTGGAAAGAGGTCTGCTAGATTCTGTATAATTTGCATTGCCCAAGATTCTTATGGCCTTTTCTTTGCTGTCTGAAGACAGTAGAAGCTGCCGATGAGTTACCCCACAGTCAAATTCTGTAATTGAGTTGGGACTGAATTAAGGAGAAATATACCGTTCTGAGAGTAGTAGTGTTAGTGATGCGTCTTAGTTGTCGCAAATTGAAAAGTGAGCTATATTATTTCATAGTCAGTTGCCTAACGTGAGCAGACCAATTGAGCTTATCGTCTAGAGTCAGGCCCAATAGTTTTACTTCTCCCTCTTCTGGAAAGGACGTGGTAGTAGTGATCAAGTGTTTCTGACTCTTTTTTTTTGCCAGATGATGCCAAATTCATTCCGGACTCCAGAGTTTTATTCCCACACAAGTACACATGTAGGTGAGAGAATCACTCGAAACTAACTGAATGTCTCCTTGTCCCTCAGAAGCCCCTCAAAAAGGGATAAATTCCTCGAGATGGCAACACTGAAGCGGCGGTGATTGATAGAGATGGAAGTTATAGTCTACATCCGTGTATATCGTGTCTAAATAACCGGATTTTTGTATCGTTTCCTGAATGTCATGTTAATAACGCTCGAGGTAGTCGAGTCCCCTGAATTCTGAATATGATTACATAAAAAAGATTGCATTAATTCGGTTATGAGTTTTCCATGTTGAAATTGCTATAGGGGAAAAGCTAAGCTCTATATCTAGGGTTTGAATCCATTGAACTGATTACCCAACTACCAGATGCGAAAGCTTTGATTTCGCCTTTGATACCCGATGGCTTGAAATTCGTATTATTCAAGGAAATAATACCGCCGTGTACACGGAGAAATCAGCAAGTGTACTTTATATCATCTGCCAGTTGAAAATATTCACCAATTTCCATACCACCATATCATACTAATCAGCAATAGAGCTGTGTCACCTGATGTCACAACATATGGAGCAGTCGTCATTTCCATCAGCTTATCGGAGGACAAACAAAGCTGTGTGTGAATTTTGATTCTATCATTTCTAAAGCAATGGTGATTCTTCTGAACATGTAGATATTATATACGAAATGATAGCAGTCAATCTACATATGCTGCCGTGTGAAACATTCAATTTTTTCTCCAAATGTTATAAAACCAATTTTGTGTAATTCTTTATCGAAAACTCAATAATTTTGTGTTAACCCAATGTCAGTGTCAATTTTGATTACCAATTCCATTCAAATTTCTTGACACGTTGCATAGCAATGAACTTGTTCTGTCTAGGTATAGAAAGAACACCTCTTCTGCCTGCAAAGTACCAGAGAAAATCCACTTCCCCTGCCGCTTATAGAAATAGTAGATTGTTTTATTAACGCTCCGCCTCGCAAATGCAAAATTCGCTTGTCAAACAAAGTCACTTTTGATCCGAATGAAACATGCTATTTTTTCTGCAACCGAAACAATTAACTCAAATAAACATGTGAAGTAATCACCAATGTCGTGCTATATGTAGGTATGCAATGCAACAAATATTGACAAATAATCCATGTGGTGAGAATATTCTACCTGCATTAACAGCAGGTTAGGTGTTCTAGGATGTTCGAGTTGTAGTTTCAATATAAATACAACCACAGAATGACATAATCGTGTATGGACCAGGTGCTCTAATGGCAAATACCGCGCCAGTGCCAGCTATAGGAACAAGACGTGGAAAATGTTAGGTTAGTGAGCATATCAACAATGATAATAGTAATTATTTCTATTCCTCTCCATACTATACTGTGTTTGACTTGATAATCAGATGGAGCTAAACAATATCGTTGTCTGAGACAAAAAAAACTATTGCTTGCCGTGTTTATTCGAAAAAAAGTTATCCATCCCGAGAATAACGAATGAAATACAGATCAAGCAAGTATTTGAATCTTGAAGGCTTCCCTGATCAAAACAAGAATACTTAACTGAGATGTTTATAATTCCAATACTAAACAATAATAAGGTGTATTTATATCTCCAGCATGGGTATGAAATGCCAAATCTGCTGAAATCGGAAACAAATCAGGTATGCGTCTCAACCCAAATAACCAACCGTCACAATTTTGTTCATTCTTGATGACGTCCAGTACATCCTTTTTAGTTCCTAGGAGCTAAAGTTGAACTTTAGCTCCTAGGAACTCAAATTTAACGTTAGCTCCTAGGAACTAAATATGTTGCCTAGCAACATACCAATCTTTGTGTCAGTAATAGAAACGTCAATTTGAGAGCTGATTTTGGTATCAAAATGGACGACTTTTGTGAAGGTTGCAGAAAAAATGTGTATATGGTATTGCAAACTGATTATGTATTGAGGTATATTACGAGGTATGCCAGATATATTATCACAGAGCTGAACTTCAAGTTAATCCAGAAAATTTAAATTGACAAAGAAACTTATCGGAAAATGTTAATGCTTGTCCCGAATGTCCCATCAGCTGCTCAATGGCCGACAATTTTACGTCATATCACGTCATTTACAGTGATCTATTCTACAGGAAGCACACTCTTATCACATCAAAGAATGGCATGGCAATGGTATCTTTGCATTTTTCGAGTACCCATAATTTCGCCGAGAACCTACCACGTGCCAGGTGATTATTATGAGGATTCACTTTCGTGTCTGCAAAAGATGAAAATGAAGCATTCAGTTGGATGATTCTGGTCCGATCAGTGGTCCACACGAGCCCCAGGTGATGTAGAGATTGAGGATGGAGAATGAGAAAAATCAATTCATTAGCCCATTGAGAACAACATAACCAGATAGGCATGCATGCATGCAATTGGTTCATTCGGGTACGAACAATTACTGTTCTAGAACTTTCAGGATTTTGCGCAGTGGAATCGGTCGCATTCGGGTTTCGTGGAATAGTTCTAGGACTCTTCTCTTGTTCGGGTTTTTTCAGAATCGTCCTAGGACGGTCCTACGACGGTCCTTGGATTATGCGATACCAGTACCACAGTATATTGTCTCTTTTTAGCAATATACTGTGCCAGTACCTGCTCTCAAGCGTGAATCATTCTGAGATTATTTTTGCCGCATGCTCACTTTTATTCATTTTTAGATTCTCTCTGTAATAACGTCATATATTGAGTCATATGTCACATATCATATAACGTTTTCAGAGAAGGAAGAAGTGTATAATATTTACCTGAGGCCACTGTAGAAAGTAAGCACATCGCACAGTTCTTGTTTATTCCGCCGATCATGATCTCGTAATCGCCGTCAACAGCATATGAAGTAACTGTCAAGAATTATAATTCAGACTGTTAATCCAAACTTCTTTGATGTAATATGCTTCTTACAACACATATTACGTAATATACCATCGCGTTTATTCTGCTGTTTATTGCTCTTTTCAATATTTTCTCAATATTATGTTCTACGATCTTCATCGTCCTCAGGAAGCAGTGGTGAAAAATTCCTCGCTGAAGTTCCTGAAAATACTATACCTCAACTGATAATTCCTGAACTTTTGTTACACTAGCCGAAAAATAAAGGATATATTATATGCTGAAGGAGACTTCGCCAATATATTCAGACACATAAACATATCAATATCATTGTATGAACATTTCAGGGGGTGTCGAAATTCATATAGGTACAAGACACAACATATTGAAAATCTAGCAATGCTATAAAAATACATTTTTAAAACATTAATCTCAGATTTATTTACATAAAAACGATTGTTTTTCCGCAAATTCTTGGTAGAGGTTATGCCGTGTTCGAGTTTTCATAATGTGTGAACCGTTCTGAAATAGTCCTAGGATTCGAAACGACTGCGCACTAGTTCTGCGCAGTTCTAGAACGATTCTTGTACAGTTTTGAAATCGGAACCCGAATGAACCGAATAAAACCCTGCTGCCCGCTATTGGAATCGATAACACTCTACATAAATCCTCTTCCCGATTCGAAATCCATTCCTCGAGGCGACTGCATCAAACTGGCTCTATGAAATATATAGCGGGATCCAGTCAAAATACGATCAACCAAATATATAAATTGATACCATTATCCCCGAGTCTCAGTATATCACCAGCTATATACCCGAAACCGCCCCAACTGGCAACGGGTTATACGAATTCAATAAATTACCCTTTCAGGACGTTAAATAACTGGATATGGTGTGCCTTTTCCGGGCTAGGAAATAAATGGACAGAGGTTAGTTTCCTTCAGTTGCGATATTATTTGGTTTCTTAGGAAGTGATGTATGGCTTTAAGCCGTCATTTGAGAATGTATGATGAATTATAGACCAGCAGGTCAGCGCCGCCCAGTAAACACACTCACTTCAAAAAAACGTAGTCAAATTACCACAACGGTCGGTTGAAATAACGTTCAATGGAATCTTTTCATCACGTTGAATCAACGCGAAAATGTATTTTCAACCAGTACAAAAATGTATTTTCAACCACTGATTTCAACGTAAATATCTGTTTGAAACCGGTGGGAACTGCCCGGTTCTCAACGAAACTTTTCACGGGGAATAAACGTGGCATATCAACGTTTGAACAAGTTGATAATAGTTATTTGTTTAACTAGGCAGCAAAGTAGTAGATTGACTGCCGTGGCTGAATTCATAGCCGAGCGTAGCGAGGCTAGGAATCCAGCTAAGGCAGTCAATCTTATTTGCTGCCGAGTTGAACATATAATTTTTTCTCCGATTGTTCATAATGATATGGGAGAATATTGTATTTGCGAATTAATACAATTCCCACAATCTCTTTATTCTTCCTGTATAGTGTTCAATCAAAATAAAATTTGATAGGAATCGCAGTTGTTGGTTTGACAATTCATGAAATTTCTGACAGTTGTGCGAAAAAATATCGGTATATTTGAATTATTATATAATGGACAGTGATAGCGACCTGGAAGTATACTTACACCTCCATTAATAAGGGAGGTGGCAAAAAATATAGAGTTGAATTTGTTGCCGGGGAAGTCTCGGATGGAATATGAAGGAAATTATAAACGATTTATGGATTTTTTATTTTGCTGATATATATCAATCAGCAAAGTAACCACTTTGCTGCCTAGGCAGCAAAGTACCCACTTTGCTGCCTAGGCAGGAAAAGTAATACTTTGCTGATCGATATGTGTCAGCAAAATTAATATTTGCTGCCAATCGGAGGAAAAAAAATATATTTCAACATTCACTTCGGATCAATTTTTGACCGACGAATTTTCGGTCTTTCGAACGTTTCTTTAACGTTTTAGTCAGATTATTTTTTTTCGTTTTTTTTTTGTGTCTACAATCATTTTATCAACATTCTCATAATTACTATAATAATTATTATACCTCACTAACCTGCTATGCTGTCCATGTATTTCCCTTTCCCAAGCTGTTCCACTTTCTTCTTAGTGAGGCGCCTATCTCTCCGTATCCCTATTTGAATATGTTCGACTACTCGATTAACTAACGTTGTTGGAAAACATATATTTCACGTTTTGTTTTGCTTTCAACGGTTATGAAATACTCTCAATGAAAAGTTTGATCAACGTTTATTTCAACAGTACAATAAACGTTTCGAAAAAGCGTTAGTTTACTGTGAGAACTCTGCCGAAACAATGAAAAATAGTTTACCTTGTGGAATACACGTTTTTGAATGACGGTACGGTTCTTAGACTCATGATTCTGAAAATTTGTAGAAAAAGTAGAGGGAAAATGGGAACTCCAACTTGAAGATTTTCATCATTGTCAAACTTTCGGTTTTGTCAGGAGGTGAAGTCATTCTTGTTAATTCCAATAGGACACCTTGTTTCAGAGTTGATCGAATTTTTCCAGAGTAAGTGATAAATGTCAATCGAACATACGCCATTTTCATATGAATTGATCAAATGACGTATCAATATTAACTCAACAGTTATAAATATGTGAATTTGAAACGTTGAAGTGAACAAGACATTGTTGTTTCAATCTATTAGTTTTATGACGTTATAAACAGGTTATTTCTAGCAATTATTCTACCGTACATTGTGAATGTGTCGTTTTATTGAAATAGAATGACGGGTTGTTGCTTGAAAGTATCAACGTTTTATTTCAACGTTAAATAGTGGTTGTAGATTAACAGGAAGTTATGAATTGTTGAGAATAAAACATCTAAATAACGTGTTTTTTTCTTGGTCATCTTAAACCAAATTTCAACGTTAAAGTTTTCAACTGCTAACGTTATTTCCACGATTCCAACCGTTATTCAACGTTTTATCAACTAGTTTGTGTTTACTGGGCGGATTTAGAAAATACAGGTCCCTATAGGCTCCACCTGTGGTGCAGGCCCTGGGCACGTGGAACCTCGCCAGAAAAATTTTGAAAAATTAGGTGCATAAAAGAGATTCTCAAGGCAACTTCAACATCGTCAATTTATAATTTAGTTCATTTTCTGTGAGGACAATCCACAATATAGTAAACATGACTTCAACAACACAATGTACAGTCAGATGCGAATGAAATGTCGCCCATTGGCGGTGATAGTACTTCTAGTCACTCCTACAATAAGAGCGCTAACACCATCCAACCGCGACATTTTCTTCAAATTAGCCAAGTACAAATCAACTTAACTGTTCCTTTTCTCTTCTTCAGATCATAAGTATATTTCAAATTTTTATCTCTCCCATAAAGAAAGCGTTAATGATATTCTCATGGTTGACTTGTCTAAAAAGCATATTTTGACATAGAGGTCCGGAGCCTGTTCTTGATCAGCTCATATACCGGGTGTCCCAGTATACCTGTTCCAATGGATTATCTCAGTTATTTCGAAAGTAACAAATTTGAAAATATCATGATCTCCAATTCGTTCAAGGAACCTTCAACTGAGAAAAACGAAAATTGAAAGTCACTTCCGGTTTGACCGGAAGTGACTCTAACTTCTTCATTTCAAATAGCACCCTATATATTTTTTGCAGTTTTTGCTTTCTACTCAAAATTACCTTTCTAACGATGTATCACACTTTGTATTTTCCAATAAATTGATTTGATAGAGAAAACGAAAATTGAAATTTGAAATCGAAAGAATTGCAGTAGACAACGATATTTTGTGTACATAATGATTTGTTCCTCAATAATTGATGATTCATGAACAATTTTGCATTCGAGATGATGAAGAGAACGTCAAATTTCAAATTATTATAGAAATAATATGTAGTAGAACTGGAAGAATTAATAATTCTTAAATGAAAACCTTAGTGTGCCATGGAAACATTTGAATACATTTGTTTGTATCTTCGACAGTGTATAATTCTCAATGATTGTGTGCGATATTTAAGAATGAATAACCGTGAGAATGATATGATAACTTCACAATTCAAGAGAAATTGGATATGATACTGATTTTGATTCCAAATTTCAATTTGTCGTTTTCTTCATCATATCAAATGTAAAATACAAAGTGTGATACATTGTTGAAAAGGCAATTTTGGGTAGAAAGCAAAAATTGCAAAAAATATACAGGGTGCTATTTGAAATAAAGAAGTTAGAGTCACTTCCGGTCAAACCGGAAGTGAATTTCAATTTTCGTTTTTTTCAGTTGAAGGTTCCTTGAACGAATTGGAGATCATGAAATTTTCAAATTTGTTACTTTCGAAATGACTGAGATAATCCATTGGAACAGGTATACTGGGACACCCGGTATATTCACAATCATGGTATATATTTTTTTGTGGTGCAGGCCCCTTTGTGGTCCGTCACCTTTGTGTTGCGGGCCCCTTTGTGGTGCTTGCCCCTAGGCGCGCGCCTATGTCGCTTAAATCCGCCCCTGCAGCAGGTAGTGATAGATTTTTGGACAGATTTCACTCAGTTTGCCTCTTGGAGGGTGGCATCTATGTTAACATTATAAAGAGGGAAGATTTGTTTGTTTTTTAGTTTATTTGTTTCTTTGTTTGTCAGTTCATTTGTTTATTTGTTTGTCAGTTTGTTTGTTTGTTCTTCAGTTTGTTTGTTTGTATTCAATATGTGCCGAAACTACTGGACCGATTTGAACAATTCTTTTCCATGATAAACATAAGCTACTCTTTACCGAAGAAAAATACTTCATTCCTATGGAAAAACGGATAATAGGAAAACGGGTAGTAGGAACTATCCTTCCGTATACTTATCTTCTTCACATAACTTCTAAACCGCTGAACCGACTGGATTGAAATTTCATATGGGTATCTCGATGGTTTCCTGGATGATTTTAAAATACAATTGGACATAGTAGGTGGCGCTGCTGTCGGTACGTCAACAAATAAACAGCTTGACCGATTGGGCTAAAATGTTTAATAAGTAAATCTACGAAAACAATACAAAAGATACTGGGAGAATGGAAATGGGTGTGAGTAAGTATGTCTATAATAGTGAGCACGAATAATTGAAAAAAAATCACTGTATATACGCAAATATAGCTCAGAACAACTGCAACAAATATATTTTTGAATGGATACAAAAATGCTCAAAGTCATTTCCAAAACTATGGTCCTGGCTAATGCCACACAGAACATTGAATTACTTCCTACCGAGATGTATGTATCGATACGTATGAACGAATAATAATGCAAGTGTTTCTTTCCCGAATGCCGATTGATTTCGATTTAGCCAGGTTAACGCAACGACACCTACAGACTGCTTTCGAGCTCCTTGACTCTCATCAGTGTAGGGTAGTTTCCAACTAGCAGTCCGAAGACCGCCGGCTAAGCGTAACCTGGCACAACAAACTCCAATCGGCAAGATTTATGGTCTCAGAGGAATCTCCTGTGGGCACAGGTGTGCCAGATGGGTTTAACGCCATCTAGACCACATGAAAAAAACAGTCCACAACTGAAATAACGAAAAATGGGAGTGGCTCATTTCAACTTCGGAATAGACACAATTCTCAAGGTGAAATGAAAAGTTGAATAAATACAAAAAAGCTCAAATTAATTTCCACAAATGCTTATAAAATGAACAGCATGAGATTCTTCTGAGACCATGAATATTGCCGATTGGTGTCTGTTGGGTCAGGATACGCATAGCTGGCGGTCTTCGGACTGCTAGCTGGAGACTGCCCTATACACTGATGAGAGTCAAGAAGCTCGAAACCAGTCGCCGAATGACATTGTTCATCAAAACTTTCGAGCCGTAGGTGAGAAGTTTTCGAACAATGTCATGAGCGAAATTGGAGCAGGCAGGTGGAGTATGTTAATTGACGAA